ACTATGTGTGATGCCCTTATTGTACATCCTGTTCTATCTAATTAAAACAGAAATACTATCCATAGCATTTATTTCATGTCCCACAGTTTGAAAAACATTGATAGTTTTGTGACCCACAGTTTGAAAAACATTGATAGAGGGGATGGGAGAGAGAAACCTTCTAAAGCCAGACTCAAAGCCAGAAGCTATAAAATAAAAGTAAATATTTGACTAGAACAATGAAATTTTATTTTATGCCTATCAAGTTGGCAAATAAATAAATAATGCTGATTTTTGGCAGGGAGTGGGGTAAATGAGAGAATGGCTCTTATCTGTTCCTAATGTAAATGGCAATTGTTATGACTTTTTTTGGTAAGCAATCTGGTAAGACCTAATAACATTAAAAGCACATATACCCTTTTACCTAGGAGTTTAACTTGAGAACTTATTCCATAGAAGTAAAAAGGACACTGCTTAAGGGTATATTAACAAGTATGCTTATTGCATTATTATTTCCTAGTGACGAAAAATTGGGGAATGAAGTGAATGCACATCATTAGGAGACTGGTTGAGTAAATTAGGCCATATAAATGCCATGGAATATTACTCAGCCATTAAAAAGAATCTGTTATTAGTAGGAAGGATATTCATGAGGTACCTGTACAATCCTAGCTATGCATGTATGTAAGTTATTTTAATATGATTGAACCCGGGCACAGTGGCTCATGCCTGTAATCCCAGCACTTTGGGAGGTTGAGGTGTGTGGATCACCTGAGGTCAGGAGTTTGAGACCAGCTTGGCCAAAATGGCAAAACCCCATCTTTGCTAAAAATACAAAAATTGTCTGGGCATGGTGACATGCTTCTGTAATCGTAGCTACTTGGGAGGCAGAGGCAGGAGAATCATTTGCACCCGGGAGGTGGAGGTTGCAGTGAGCCAAGATTGCGCCACTGCACTCCAGCGTGGGTGACAGCAACACTCCATCTCAAAAAAAATTGAAAGTTTTGAGTGGTGCAAAATATAGGAGGGAATAGACAAATGGGATCTAATTAAACTCCAGAGCTTCTGTGCAGCAAAAGAAACAATTGTTAGAATGAACTGGCAACCAACAGAATGGGAAAAAATTTTTGCAACCTACCCATCTTACAAAGGGCTAATATCCAGAATCACAAAGACCTAAAATAGATTTACAAGAAAAAAACAAACCCATTCCAAAGTGGGTGGAGGATATGAACAGACACTTTTCAAAAGAAGACATATATGAGGCCAATAAACATATGAAAAAATGCTCATCATCACTGTTCATTAGAGAAATGCAAATCAAAACCACATTGAGATACCATCTTGCCAGTTAGAATGGCTATCATTAAAAAATCTGGAGACAACAGATGCTGGAGAGGATGTGGAGAAATAGGAACACTTTACACTGTTGGTGGGAGTGTAAATTAGCTCAACCATTGTGGAAGACAGTGTGGTGATTCCTCAAAGATCTGGAAACAGAAATTCCATCTGACCCAGCAATCCCATTACTGGGTATATACCCAAAGGATTATAAATCGTTCTGTTATAAAGACACATGCACACGTATGTTCCTTGCGGCACTGTTTACAATAGCAAAGACCTGGAACCAACCCAGATGCCCATCAGTGATAGACTGGACAAGGAAAATGTGGCACATATACACCATGGAGTACTATGCACCCATAAAAAACGATGAGTTCATGTCCTTTATAGGGACATGGATGAATCTGGAAGCCATCATTCTCAGCACACTGACACAAGAACAGAAAATCAAACACTGCGTGTTCTCACTCATAGCCGGGTATTGAACAATTAGAACACATGTACACTGGGAGGGGAGCATCATACCGTGGGGTCTGTTGGGGAGGTATCTAGGGGAGGGACGGGGAGGGTGGAGAGGTTGGGAAGAGATAACATGGGGAGAAATGCCAGATATAGGTGACGGGGGGTTGGAGGCAGCAAACTACCTTGTCATATCTGTACCAATGCAACAGTCCTGCATGACCTGCACATGTACCCCAGAACCTAAACTACAGTTAAAAAAAAAAAAAAAGATGTTAACAGGGTTGTCTGTTAAGGAAGTAAATTATTTGGACAGGGAATGAAGCCTAACAAAAATGAAAAGGGTGAAAAACCACACTAAAACAGAAATCCCTGTAGCATAATATACTTATGCATTTGTGTAAGAGACTATACAGTGTGTATATATTTATACTATATGTATATGTATGTAGTATATATGTAAGTATTTGTATGTATGTTAATTTTAAAAAGCAAGGAAAAAATATGTGTGGAAATTAGTTGTCTTTTGATGGTGGTGGCTCCCTATCAGAGCTTTCCCTTTTCTCCCTTATATTGTTGAGAGTACTTATTTCAGGGGGACACCAGGATATCCTTTGGGGAATTCCTTATAAATCATGAGGAAACTGAGGCAATTTTAGTGGTCAGATGCATTTGTCCTTCCTTTGAATTGTGAGTGTCTTGTTAGATGTTGGTCCATTCCTTCTGCCTACCCATTTTCAGGGAAGGATCCAGAGGAGGAGGAGGGAGAGTACAAGATGTTTATAGGGTCACTGAAGGGTACTTGGGCCCAGAGTCCCTCAGATTCCAAAGGAAGCTGAGTAGATTGAATTGGATGGGAGGGAAAATGTATGGATTCCTGTGTATGGAAAGGAGAAAGAAAGATAGTTTGGGACCACACTGTTAATGACTTTGACTCTCATGCTAAAGAGTTTGATTTTCATTCTTTATGTCTGTGATTCTCAAATGTTGTATGCTCTTCTTTTTAAAAAATTCTTTAAGTATTTTTCTTTATACTTCAGTAGAGTTAGTCTTAGAAAAGTGTCATATGCTGTTGATGTTTGGTGAGCTGGGATGAGGTTTCTCAGGATAAAATTAAACAATGCCAGTCTCTTTCCAATTTAAGGAAAAAGTAGCTTTTGGGGATAGAACTTTTTTTTTCTTTTTTGAGTTGGAGTCTTGCTCTGTTGCCCAGGCTGGAGTGCAATGGTGTGGTCTTGGCTCACTGCAACCTCTGCCTCCCAGGTTCAAGTGATTCTCCTGCCTCAGCCTCCCAAGTAGCTGAGACTACAGGTGCCTTCCACCATGCCTGGCTAATTTTTGTATTTTTAGTAGAGACAGGGTTTCACCATATTGGCCGAGCTGGTCTCGAACTCCTGACCTTGCATTCCGCTTGCCTCGGCCTCCCAAAGTGCTGGCATTAGAGGCGTGAGCTACCGTGCCCAGCTAGGTATAGAACCTTTTAAACATTAATAATAACTATGTAGTTTGCTTAAACTGCTTGCTGGGCAAACATATTTCAGAACAAGTAGAAAGTGGAAGTTAACAGAAATGAATTGGAAAGGGGTAACCATCATTTATTCTTTTTATAAGTGTGGCATTTATGGTTGTAATATTTACGTTGCATTCATACGGATATGTTTTCTGCAGCTGACATCCCTCATATGTGCAGTAGACTTAACGTATCGTTTCATGGAGTATGTACAGTGTAGGCAAGAGCAGTACATGCCCTGGACAGTGTATGGAATAGGGAGAGGCAGCATGTGTCATGGCTAAGACCATGCCATGGAGCTTAACAGATGTGAGTTGAAAACCACCTCTGGCTAGGTGCGGTGGCTCACACCTGTAATCCCAGCACTTTGGGTGGGAGGCAGAGGTGGGTGGATCACCGCCTCAGGTCAGGAATTCGAGACCAGTCTAACCAACATGGTGAAACCCCGTCTCTTCTAAAAATACAAAAATTAGCTGGGCATGGTGGCATGCACCTGTAATTGCAGCTACTTGAGAGGCTGAGGCAGGGGAATTGCTTGAACCTGGAAGGCAGAGGTTGCAGTGAGCTGAGATTACACCACTGCACTTCAGTGTGCCTGGGCAACAGAGCAAGACTGTCTCAACAAAAACAAAAACAAAAAACCCTAGCTCCACCCTGTTACAACTTTGAAGCTTCAGGTAAGAAGCAAACCTTTCTGTGCTCTAGCATCTTCATCTGTGAAACAGGGATAATGTTACTGAATGTTTATAGGGTTGTTTTAGTGATATGAGTAGCATGTAGTAAATGCTTAATAAGTGGCAGCTCTTTTTTTTTTTTTTTTTTGAGACGGAGTTTCGCTCTTGTTACCCAGGCTGGAGTGCAATGGCGCGATCTCGGCTCACCGCAACCTCCGCCTCCTGGGTTCAGGCAATTCTCCTGCCTCAGCCTCCTGAGTAGCTGGGACTACAGGCACGCGCCACCATGCCCAGCTAATTTTTTTGTAGTTTTAGTAGAGACAGGGTTTCACCATGTTGACCAGGATGGTCTCGATCTCTTGACCTCATGATCCACCCGCCTCGGCCTCCCAAAGTGCTGGGATTACAGGCTTGAGCCACTGCTCCCAGCATAAGTGGCAGCTCTTAATATGTTTCCTGAAGAACACTGTGACTTCCCAGTGTTCCACTACTGAACATTTCATCACCACTATTGCGGAGAATGAAACAGTCTCAAATAATTTTTAAGTGCAATTTGAGGACAGTGCTGAGACATTGCAGGGATATGTATCCAGCAGCTAGTAGGTACTCTGAAACTGTTGACTGAAAATCTGGGTCTTAGTAAATTCTCCTGTCTTCCCCTTCCTACTTAGGCCATTCCATTCTCCCATGTTTTTCTATCTTGAAACCATTGAATTCGAGGGTTCCTTCATGCTGTGAATGTCCCGTTATCTAATCATGTTATTTCCCTGCCCAATCGCTGTTTTCTCCAGCTCTGCCCCAGGGCTTCTGAGGGCTCTTGTAGCTTCAGAGAGCTTCAGGATCTGCCTTCCTATCTAATCTCACCCTGAGGTTCTGGGACATTCCCAGAACATTTAGATACATTTTTTTCTGTCTTCAGAGGCAAGATGTTTGCAGCATTCTTTATCATACCAAAAGTCTATACATCTGTTTTACTTATTTCTATTAATTTTCAGTAGTATAATTTGACATGCATTTCTGTTTTGTCTTTTCAGGTGCCATTTGGATTGTACTTTAGTGGCACAATGTACTCTGAGTGGAGGTCACTGCATTTGGTGATTCAGAATGATAAAGGCCATACCAGTGTGCTGCACAGCTATCCAGAGAACGTTGGGCGAGAGGTGGCAAATGCTGTAGTCCGTCCTCTTGGGCAGGTGTTAGGTACCCCTTCAGTGGCTGGTAGTGAGAGTTTGTTAAAAACTGACAAAGAAGTAAGTGTTTCTAAATTTCATTCTATTGTAAGAAAATGCACATTTGTTCTTGAAGAATTTGTTTAATGTTGACTTTTTTTTTTCTTTTTTCTTTGAAAAGAGCTGTAATAGAATAACGTCAGCTTTCTAATGGATTTCTGCCCAATGTAGTGTGACTTGCAATTTTGATCTTGTTTGAGTTGAGGGCTGGGACTCAGAGTTTATGGAGGTTATGAGAAATGAGCTGTGCTGTGTTGCTGCTGGGACTTTTTACTAGTTATGGTTAATTCTCCACTTGAGCTAAAGGCCAAGACAGAGACTTCAGTATCAAACCGTTTCCCCAAAGCTCTAGCCTCAGTCTTCTGATTTCCATTTAGAGTGTGTTTAGAAGGCCTCATCCCTACCTCGAGATGGCCTCTGACTGAAGACTCATCTTATGTCGAGTTGAAAACGTGTATGCTGTGCTTAAGCTTTTCCCTGTTCCTGTCCCTACCTGCCCCTTCCTAGCTTCCAGGCTTAAGAGTGATGCAGAGAAGCCAAACCCTTCTGGCCTAAGCCTAGGTGATTGGAATTGGGGTTGTGTTTCTTTTTTTTTTGTCACAGAGTCTTGCTTTGTCACTGAGGCTGGCATGCAGTGGCATGACCACAGCTCACTGTAGCCTCAGTCTTTGTGGGGTCAAATGATTCTTCCATGCCAGTGAGTCCCAAGTAGCTGGAACTACATACAGACATGTGTCACCACACCCAGCTAATTAAAACAAAATTTTTTGTAGAGATGGTGTTCTCACTCTGTTGCCCAGGCTGGATGTTTGCTGTTTCTAGAGGTAGGGGCTCTTGGAATGGCTTGCCCTGAAGCTGGCCCTTTGTTCTTTCTTGGGTTCAGCGGCCTGGGCTGAAGTTAAATTGCCATTGGGAAGGTGTGATGGGGCCCTGAGAACGGAGTGATAGAGGAGCTTACTAATATAAATTCTGGCTAAGATGCAGGATTAAAACTTTGTCCCTTGTGTTGAAGAAGCTCATGCAACCTTCAGAGTTCATGTTTAGCAAAACCTGTACCCTATTTCTCAGACCCTTTTTTCTGTTTGCTTTTTGGTTTCTTATGAAGGAGAGATTAGACTTAGATATAAGACTAAAACTTGTAGTTCTAGGGGCAGTTATCCCTCAGCCGTGGGTCACTGAAGAGTAAAGGTCCTCAGCATTTTCTCTCTTCAGAAGACCCTAGATTTCTCCTTGAGGATTAGCACAGGCCCTAGTGGTTCTCCTGGTGCGTTGGGGATTCCTTATTGCCTTCTCCTGGGATGAGATGGTACATGAGTAGATAGAGGTGCTCTGGTACAGCCCTTGTTTTTCTCCTTTCTCACTGTGTCCTCTAGAATTACAAAATTAAATGATTGTGTGAAGATGTCACCAAAGATATCTTCTCCTTGGTTTTTTATCTGATAATTAGGGACCTGCAGTGTCTTTTAGAATCTCTTCTCATATGTGGCTAAATCTTGCTACACCCTGCTCCAAATTAGTCACAACTTCATTGTGCTGTTGTAGGCTTCTTTATTATTTATGCAGTTAAACCATATATTTCCTACCCTTAGCCTTTGTAGTTGCTTTTGAGCTTAAAAATTTAATACATATATTTATCTTGTTGGATTTGATTTTGGTTTTAAGCTTTTAAAGTCTTTTTGAATCCTGAATTTCTGTCCAATAAGTTGGTCATCCTTTTTAGCTTTGTGATGTCTACAGATGATCAACATATAATGTTTTTTTTTTCCCTTAAAATCTTAGCAGAGACTTTGGCATGCCACTAAGCACCTTTTTCCAACATGATCTTGACACATTAATCTACTGTTACTCTGTCATGTGATATCTTGACCTGTTGTAAATCTAGCCATTCTACCATTCTCTGGGCCATATGTTTCCATCTTGTCCACAAGGAGATCTTGGGTCTGTTCAAATTTCTTGCCAATACCCAGATACCCATTTGCCAGAGAACTCTGTTAATGGCATGGTGAGAATAGCTTCAAATTTCTAGTTGGAAGACCAGGGTTCAAGTTTTCAGCTCTGCTTTTTATAAACCAGTGACTTGTGCCAAATTGCTTAATCTTGCTAAGCTTCTGTTTTCTTATGTGTAAAGTAAGGATAGTTTACTCTGTCTACACAGGGTTATTGTGATGGCTAGGTGGTATTTATGAAAGTGCTTTGCAAACTGCAAGGACTACATCGTTGTCAGCCCTCTAAATAGTAACCCTATTAATAAAAGAATGAAGCTCATTTGGCATGACTTGATCTTTTTGAGTAAGTTGGGTCTTGGATCATGCTTCTCTTTTTTGTTGTTGTTGTTGTTTTTGAGACAGAGTTTTCGTTCTTGTTGCCCAGGCTGGAGTCCAGTGGGGTGATCTCGGCTCACTGTAACCTCCACCTCCCAGGTTCAAGTGATTCTCCTGCCTCAGCCTCCCGAGTAGCTGGGATTACAACACCTGGCTAATTTTGTATTTTTAGTAGAGACGGGGTTTCTCCATGTTGGCCAGGCCAGTCTCAAACTCCCGACCTCAGGTGATCCACCCGTCTCGGCCTTCCAAAGTATTGGGATTACAGGCATGAGCCCAGCCTCATGCTTCTCTTTTATAAGTGTTCACTGATTGCTTAGTAATTTGTCTCAAAGTTTTGTTTGGAATTCACTTAAGCTTTCCAGTTTACAATGTCTGGAATGCAGTTTCCTCTTTTTTTTTTTGCAAATTAGGGTTTCTCATAGATGGAGACATAACTGGTCAAGTTACTACATGACAGAATAATAGTAGACTAATGTGCCAAAATCATTTTGGAAAAAGGCGCCCAGTGGCACCTTCTAGTTGGAAGACCAGGATTCAAGTTTTCAGCTCCACCTTTTATACACCAGTGACTTGGGCCAGATTACTTAATCTCTGCAATTCTTTATGACTGCAGGCAGTGGTTCAGCAGTCTCTTAGACAAGTTCTCTCAGTCCCTAGGATTTGATTCAGGTAGGTCAGGAGGCTGAGACTCATTCAGTGCAGCTAAATGCCTTGTTAATATCTTACCCAGCTTCAATCCTTTCTCAGCTGTGTTTGTTCTTCATCTTAAGTACATTTTTTTTGGGGGGGGGGCATAGAAAACAGTTGTAAAATTAGAGTCAAACAATTCATCTTTCTTCCTGTTATTTGTTCATTTGCATAATCTGGAGATGGAATGTGACCGACTATATGATTTTCTAAATGCTACATATACTCATACACATTAAGTGGAGAAAAAAAACTCTAAAATGTTCTGTTTTTGCATCTCTAATCTCTATGGAAAATTGAAATGATCTATATTTACTTTTTAGTTCACAGAGCAAATAATAATATTATCTAAAGGGTAAAAACCAGCATAGGCTTAATATTTAAAAATAAGTAATTTATTTTCTTCTTAAATCCTTTGCTTGGGAAATTGTATGTTTGATATGTGAAAAATGCATTCTCTAGAATAAATCTGATATTTATACTGAGACGAATATACTGTCAATTTAGGGGCTTTTTGCAGTAAAAGAGGTTAACATTTTAAATCAGTCTACTGAGATAGGCATGCATAATAATTCTATGTGGATATTTTCTTTTGTCTAGGTAAAATGGACCATGGAAGTAATTTGCTATGGACTGACCCTTCCATTGGATGGAGAGACTGTAAAATACTGCGTTGATGTATATACAGACTGGATTATGGCTTTAGTGTTGCCGAAAGATTCTATTCCATTGCCAATTATTAAAGAGCCGAATCAATATGTTCAAAGTATACTAAAACACCTACAAAATCTTTTTGTACCAAGGTAAGCTATACCTGCCTATCTTGCCCATTAACAGGGTCATAGTAAAATATTCATAAATGTTACTGTAGTATAAGGAGCTGATTTCATTGTTCATCATCTGAACAATGATTCCATGTGTTCAATTAAAGATTGTATTAATGTGAATGTTAGGAGAGATGGGCTTATATAATGTTTACTAGGAGTTTTTAACAGTTTTAAACTCCTAGTAAACATTATATAAGGTTTACTTTATAGGTTTTCTTTAAAGGTTTTTGGCTTTGCTTCTAAAATCTCGTAACTGTTAGATATTAAAATACTGTAACATCTTTCCCTTTTACTCAAAAAAATATATGCTTTTGCCTATCACAATTCTTGTCTCTCTTTAGGCTAAAGACAACTAGGGAAATGCATCTACCTTAACAGGCATCTTTCCTATGAGAGAATGAAGACACTTGAAATTATTATGGGCAAATTTATTTTAAGCCAAAAGATACCTCTTGATAGTTTGTTACTGATTTTTTTTTCCATATTCTGAGGCAAGGGCCTTAAGTATCATAATGTAGGATACCTTTAAGGAGCAGTAGGGCATGTCTCCGGTTGGTAAAGTTCTGGTTAGGGTTTTTGGTCTGTCATATGGTGAGGGACTTTGAAAACCAGCTATGTAAGTTTTAACTTTATAAATATAGAAGGACGATTACTTTGGAAAATCTGAATTAAAAAAGAAGTCTCCATTAAGAGCTCTGGTCTGTAGGCTCAGGGGTAAACAGCATGAAATGCCTGCTGTAGTGTGGCTCCTGAACAGACTACTGTTCTTAATTCCACATGAGCGCTGCTCTTTAGCCAGACTCACACATCAAACATTCCCCTAAGACCTCTTAAAGGTCTTTCTCATCATGATGTCTTTTTGTCTTCTTCCTTCTCTCCATCACTACATCTCATTCTTGTGGGTTCTTTAAATCTGCCTTGTGAGGAGAAGTCCTACCTAACCACTCAGTCCCACAGTGATTGCACCTGCTCTGAACCCGTATGATACTTTCTGCATCACTCTTGTACCTCTCACTGTTTTGTTGATTATTTTTTAAAATGTGTGTCTCCTTTCCCCATCCAACCAACTTGAAGGCAGGAACTGTGTTGTCCATATTTTAGGCTTCCACAGTACCTGCGTCAGTATTGATGTTTTAGTACTTAGTACTTATCTGAGGTGTGAATTAAATGCATGTTGCTAGTATTTATTAATTTCAAATGGAATTAAAAACAGGAAATGGGCTGGGCACAGTGGCTCACACCTGTAATCCCAGAAAGTTGGGAAGCCAAGGCCCATGGATCACCTGAGGTCAGGAGTTCGAGACCAGCCTGGCCAATATGGTGAAACTCTGTTTCTACTAAAAATACAAAAATTAGCTGGACGTGATGGCACGTGCCTATAATCCCAGCTACATGGGAGACTGAGACAGGGAGAATTGCTTGAATCTAGGAGGCAGAGGTTGCAGTGAGCTGAGATCGTGCCACTGCGCTCCAGCCTGGGTGACAGAGTGAGACTCCATCTCAAAAACAAAAACAAAAATGCAAATGAAACAGGAAGTGTTTAGCAATACTTAGAATATTGTTTATAAGCAGATTCTTCTAAAATGGTATAATAGTTGTAATGCTTTCTTGTTATCTTATATAGCAGACTACTGGGCTTTTCTGTGCCTGGGACAGTCTCATGAGTAGTATTGTCACTGTGTCTCTTTCTTCTTTGTAACACCACTACCTCTCAGTGCTCAGTTAATTTATATAGATGAAAAAAATTAATGGCATTTGAGTTAATTAGGCCTGCACCTTTAACTTTACTCTTTTGAGAACATGACTACCTTATAAATTGTTTTGCTATTTAGTAATTACCTTGTTTTCTCAAAAGTGTGTTTGCATAAGTGTTAGTAAGTTCTGAGAGGGTACTCAACTGAGAATAAGAGTTCTCTTCCTGGCCAATGTTTTAGGAAAATTAGCTGAATATTTTCAATGCTAAGTATTGGTGTTATGATCTCATCTCCCATTATTTGAAGTTTTAGTTATTTATTTGATTCTGATAGTTCACAAAACTATCATCTAAGTTTACTTAATTAGTTGGTTTTATAAAAATTGACATTCAAATTAGAGGGAACTGCCTTTACCATTTTGTTAGAGATTATGTCAGAAAGAATGTAACTTTTCTCTTTTGCCCATCAGTTTGATTTTTATCTGTAATTGAGTGAAGAGTAAATCATCTTTTAAAGTTGATTAAAGTTTTGATTGCTCACATATACTATACTGTACTTTATTATTATTTTTTTAAGATGGGATTTCACCATGTTGGTCAGGCTGGTCTTGAATTCCTGACCTCAGTTGATCCGCCCACCTTAGCATCCAAAGTACTTGGATTACAGGCGTGAGCCACCATGCCCAGCCTATACTGTACTTTAAAAAAACATAATATTGTTCTAAAGCAGGGTTAACAAAGAGCCCGATAGCATTTTAGGCCTTGCAGGTCATATAGTGTTGTAATTATTCAATTATGCTGGAATGGCATGAAAGCAGCCATAGACAATGTGTGAATGAATGATCATTACTGTGTTCCAATACAACTTTATTTACAATATGGATAGCAGGCCAGATTTGACCCATTGGCCATCATTCACTATCACTCTTCTAAAGCAGTTTTTTTTTTTTTTTTTTT